TTAGTAAACTATTAAGTTAGTGACACCTTGACTTTCTTCCAAACAATGCACATTTCATTCACAATATTAAACTGAACGGCGGCTGATTTGACCGCAGTGTGTCGTGTGATACCGAACTAAGCACAACTGTGCACAAATTCGCTAAAGGTTATAAGTTGTACTCAGTGTTATCTGCGTTTGCCATTAAGCAAAGAAACAAAAACTAAACACAATTTTAAATGCAGTTTGGCGCTGTCGCCTTCAGCTTTCAGAGATTCGAGCAAGTTCTGGGTCCCACCGTTTAAATCAGTCACAGTGCTTGTGTGTTTCGCGTTGTGTTAATATTTTCCACCTACCTGCTAGAAAGCTCCACAAACCAAGAGAAACCACCGCAGACTGTTTAGACACGTTAGTGGCCTTTTCTACAAAACAACGAAATAATTTATAGCTATATTAGGACCTTAATTATGACAGTAAAAGTAATCAAAACGCACCAATAATAACATTGTTTTTACCATTTTACTCAAAAACATGCATGGTGGATTTCCTCAGTGTTACAGTATTTACCGCCGACTCGGAACGAACCTTCTATAAATGGTTCCGCTGTTGCATAGATGCAGTATATTTAGTTATAATGTTTAGCGATTAAAATAATCTTATTATCTACAGGCAAAATACAATATAGCACTTTGCGATATTTTATTTCCTTCACTGTGTCCTCTATTACATTCAGTTCTGATTTTAAACGATTCAGTGGTTTATCAGGTGAAAACTGCGGCACAGTTTGTAGAGTATAGGATGAGACTGAGATTTTGTCTGACCCGTTATCTTCAAAAACACTCCCTAATGAGACTGAAAAAGCAAAGAATAATTAACAATTTAAAATTAAATTGGTCCTAATTGCACCTGTGTTAAGAGTTTAATTTGCTGTGGAGGATGGTTAACAGCACTGGAGGTCAGACCAGGTTAGTGGCTAAAGTCAAAACTTACCAAAGATATTCATTAGATCTTGTCAGAATATTGACTACAGTGGTATCAAAATTCTGTCCAAATATTGTAAACATAAAGTTTTATTACAAACATTTTATGACGGTAAATATAAGCAGCAGTGTTTTTATTAGATGCTTAAAATTAAATACATCTTGTTTTCTACCCAAGTTCTATTGAAATGTTATTTATTCACACTTATATTTTCATTATAGAGGGGTTTTGTAGAAATATTTGACTAAAACAATCTTTTATACACACAGAATATTTGGTAAATACCAATGAATGGCTGACCCCACACAGGGGTGCAGCATTAGAAATTTCTTTATTTGTTTGTATCTTTAAGGAAACTCAGATTTTTTTTTAAATCAGATGTCATTAGGTACACAATATGTGTTTTCACTAGTCCACCAGAGTGGTACAATAAAAGAAACTGAACTTCAAATAAAGATTCTAGTCCAGGAGGTTGTGGGCAGTGAAATCAGCTCAGGTGTGATTCGCCAGTTGTCCAGCAGGCGGCGGCAGCAACTCTGGGGAGATGAAGCCTTTAGGTGTTTGGACTGAGGCTTTGCTGCTGACCCAGTTCTGAAGTCACACAGTTCAGTCACAGACACAAATTCAATTACACCTCAGTCATACATGGCTGCTGGAGTGAGAGGAAGTGGCTCCAGCCTGGAGACAAACAGACAAACTTTGTTTACTGTCTGTCTTCTGAGGTTTTCAGTGATACCAGAACTGACATGAGACTTATTCTTAGTTTTATTAAATTCTGATATCACTTGCACTTTGCCCCAATGTTAAAGCTTAAACATTTTCATACTTGCATCCACGTCAACCTAAACATCAGTTGTACAAGTGAAGAAGACTTATTCTTTAAATTTTGTGTTTCAGTGATCATTACAGATTTTGGGCTGAGCCTTCTGTGGGTGCCTGAGAGGTGCCACCATCCCAGAGATTCTATCTCAGATTCCTCTGTTTCTGTACTAAGTGGCACTGTTTCTGGTGAGAACAGTCTCATTGAGATTTCCTGCAAACATGAAACATTGTAGGTAGAGATTCAGAGCCTTGCAGGAAGCAGGTGTCTTTGGTTCCTGGCTTCTTTAGTCCAGCTTGTGCGACTCAGTCATTTCCCTAAAACATTCCAAGATGTTCACCCACTGTTCACTTTTGTCAACACACCACTCAACAGAAGAAGAAGAAACAAGGAGAGATGTCTTTAATGCTGAGGCCAGCAGCTGCAGCTGCTCTGGCAGAGGGAAGTGGAGAACTGGTGGCCCTGACATACCACATCACCATCTGTGGACCAAGTGCAGCTCTGCAGCAGGAGACACACTGTAGAGACCGCGTCATGAAAAACCCTCATGGCATTACTCGCATAGTTTTGTTAAAACGATTGCTGTGTAGACGGGAAGTATTTGCATTGACATGAAAACAGGGAAAACGAATAAAACGATGTCGGAGCATGCGCATTACCCTTGAAGATGATGGCGTCATTAGTGACTTCTAGCGACTTTTAGGACAGCCAATATCTACTTTCCTTGCTGAGGAGTTGGCCTCCGCGGTGGATCTAAAGACATGAGTTACCAACATTATTTTGTTGGTCGCAGCAGTAGTAAAGGAGCAGTTGTACTAATGCTAATAAGTTCATTAGCATCTGTGTGTAGCATGAAAGCATATAGTTCGCCATTGTTTATCTTGATGTCGCAGTCAATGTGACACTAGCAGTAGCTGACGCGGGGCGATGGCGTCATCGTTTCGTAAACATATGCGGATTATAACGTTGACACGAAAACGTTTTAGCTGGCGTTTTGAAACTCTCCACTTTGGGACCCGTTTTAAAAAGCCTCCGTTTTCGCTACCTGGCTAACCTGTTTCCGTCTAAACGGAAGGCCAAAACACATACTAAAGTAGGCGTTTACAGTAGTGATGAGCAGATGAAGCTTCATGAAGCAATGAAGCCTTTCATCCAATTGGTTCACTCCAGCGCAAAGCTTCTTGAAGCTTCATTTGCTCTAGTAGGACATCTACTGGATGCAACAATATCAGTTGGCATGAACTTGAAGTGTGTGGCATTTTGCAGAAAGCCTGTGAATAAAACTGTCAGCAAAATAAAGACCATTAATAAAATCATGACTACAGTTCGTTATCCGCCGTCAGCTGACACCACCGTTGTTAGTGTAGCTTGAGCCATGTAGTGCTCAAGGTGTTCAGTGCTGACATTTCCATCTTTACCGGTTTTAAGACCTTTTCCACAGCAGACACTGACCTGTCATAGCAGGAAAAGCATGTCAAACTATTTTCATCAGTGAACAACTGAAACTGCTTTTATAGACAAAAACAATCCTCATGCAAGAAACAGCAGTAAAATGATGACTCTATTTTCCTGAGCATCACACATTAAGTGTTGGTAAACGTTCAGTAAATAAAACCTCCTCCTTTACGTTCTTCCCTCATTTCATTTTCTGTTCCGTTTTCCTTCTGCACTTCTGCTTTCACACTCAGTCCGTTAATGTCCTGACATCACAAAAACAATTCAGATATAAACTGTAGCAATGAAGCAAAGAGGCAGCAGGTACATTATTTTATCATTTTTATTTCAGCTATTTTCATACAAGCCAGGTGGAAACACAGCCTCACTGTGAATATGAAATTAAATCCAACAATAAAATCAGCAAAAAAAAGTAAACTGCATTAAAGTTCACAGTCAGATCATGACATGAGTGGAATGGAAACTGGTTTTAATGATGAAAACGTGAAAAATCTGACTCCAGTTTCTAACAAAACAATTACTGATAGTAATGTAAATGAAGATCTGAACCTAAAAAATAAGGCGAGTGTTTGAAACGCTGGTTTCCTGAAATGGATCTGTAGAATTGTGGGATGGAGCCCATTCAAACATTTTCCTTCTGAAATCACACAGATGAATCAGATTTATTTGGGTTTGGACAAACAGACCAAGCTTAGTGGCTCATTTACATATATTTTACTCATGCACAGTCAGTGAATGAAAATATGACCAAAAGCTCAAATGAAATTACAGTGACTTATTTGTTAATGTGAGTGAAGGTGGTTACAACAAGCAACACTGTGGGAAACTAAAAGCTGATTGTAACTTATATGAAACCTAAAGGTATTTATTTATTTTTACAATTTCAGTCACTTATTTTCATTGTCCCTCCCCACAAGAAAAATGTATGTCATTATAAAGTGCAAAAGGCAACACAACAGGACAGACTAAGGCACTGAGGAGGCGCGAGGAGCAGAGTTTAGCTAACACAGCTACACAGTTCAACCACCGCTGATTTGGTCACAAAGGATTTTATATACAGTCATTTCTCTGAGATTCTGTGTTCAAAGAAGAAGAAATGCCTCAAAAGACACACAGACACTCATATTGTTTAGCAGAGAGCAGAGCCGGCCCCTGGGCCAACAGGGGCCCCAGAGGAGCCAACAGGGGCCCCAGAGGAGCCGATGATCTGAACGTTTTAAAGGTTCCTGTGTTCAGGTTGTTATTGCTAAAAAAGATCATGTACTCACTAATAAAGCTCATGAGCTGAGCACATCATGTGGGCGTAAGAGGGGTTAAAAATGATTAACTACAGTGAGAAATTGGGAATTAAACAAAATAAGAGTATTTATTAAAAAAACAAAAATCAATAAAAACCTCTGGGATAGCAGGACCGACAGTATGTACTATAACGTATTTTCATGTTTTGTAACCAATAATGAAACACAATGATTAAAATTTAGGATTATGACAAAGTTTGGAATTCTATTTAATCAGAAAAAAACTTGTGTATGACAGACTATTTTGGAAATTTATAAAAGTTTTGATTCTAACAAAACATCTGGGAATTGTAACATAAAATTTAACAAACAATAAAGATAAATGAATAAATTAAAAGTGTAATTTCCTATAATCCTAAATTACAGAATTTATTAATTACAAAATAATGAAATATGGGATTATAAGAACATTTAACAAATTCTGGAATTGTACCACAGTCCGTTTTTGCAGGGATTCATCCAAACAACACAATATGAAATTATAAAATTTGAGATGACTGTTGGTATTGTAACAAAAAAAAAAGCACAAAAAGTAATTTAGGACTGTAAAACAAAATCTGTTATACTCCTACATTTTCACCCAATTAGAAAATATTAAACCTAACAACTGTGAAATGTTGTATTTAGATGTGCTGTTACAGTTTGTTGTGATTTTTATCTGGTTTCAGCTCAACAACATGAGATGAAATAAGAATTTCCAATACATTTTCTTATGCGCAGTCTAAAACACACACACACACACACACACACACACAGGTTAACCTGGTTAGACGTTTGGTTTAATCTGATTTCCCTGATCCATCCGTCTGCAGAGGAAGTGGGCAAATTAAGATGGAGCTCAAAATAGTTTTCTGTCAGTATTTTGCAGGCGTTAACCTTTTAAACCTGTGCATAATGGAAAAGCGCTCAGATTTACTGAGAACGTATTGAAACGTGCTCAGTCACCAGTGACATTCCTGGACCGTTTGCACCCCCCACCCCACCCCACAGGATTAACAGAGGTTCACTGTTTTGTTGATCAAACAAAAACAAAAGACAACAGGGAAAAACTTCCTGTTCAACAGAGGAAACCACATGCAGACAAAAACACACGGCAACAAACAAACATTTGCGCACGAGTCAAGGCCACAGGATGTGAAACAAGCTGGGCAGCAGACGAACTCAGCTGAAGCTGCTCCATTTGGATCATCTTGTCTTATTTTCCAAGTCTGGTCAAATTTGAGCAAGTCGGCCAAAAGACTCAACTGGTGTAGAAAACAGAGCCCATGTGGAGCTGTGGATGTTGAACTTGGTGAAATCTGTTCGTAGAGCAGATTAACTGATCAACAGAAAATGATACTGCAGCAGTTTTCTGCTCTTTTCTAATCACCTCATTGATCTCTTCGAGTTAGTCTGACCTCAGATCAACATTTAGCACACCGAGGGCCTTTGTGGCCGGCTTTGGGGCAGTGCATTCATATAAGGACAGTACTGTTTACAACAAGTCTGCTGCCTTCTCTGAGGCAGATTTACACTGTTTGTTCGCCAGCAGGGGGCAGCAGCGTCTGAATGCTGCGCCCGCTGTGCCCATGAGCAACACACTTCACCCATGACTGCTGCAGGCGATCAATGCAGGGTTAAACATGAAGCAGGTGAAGGAGCATCTGGACAGTGAGACGTTTGAGACATGTCAAGTTTCTGAACAGTGTAAAATTTAAACTGGACTTTTCTTTCATTACAGAAAACTTTTCACCAGTTACAGAAACAGGAAGACAAATTCTACTTCTTTTCACTAACAAGTATTTTAACAAGATAATCTGGGCTTTAGCTGATTACAAATGATCAAAACATCTCTTAGTTTTGAACCAAATCGTAACACAGGCTCCACTGACTAGATGTGTCTCCTGCTCTTTCAACTGGAGCCCAGTACTGGGAGATTACAGGTTCCTGCAGATCATCACCGAACATGTGGACTGATGAGTAGACATAACAAAACATAAGCACAGAAAAGCCAGTTGTTTGAGACTGTCCAGAAACAGTTTGTCCACCACAGAGCATCAACCATTAAATGTCCAGCTCACCACATTTACTGGTCTTTAAAATCCCTTAATGGATTCTTTTGTTTCTCAGTGTCATGTACTGGTCAGACCCAACTTTTACCAGCATGCTCTGGTCTTCATCAGTGCAGACTGAGCAAAAAGATACCGTTTACTGGACTCTGTGTCAGGAGTTTATTTTGACAAAGTCGGGAATGAGCTTTCACAGCCATATTTGACATTCTGGTACTTTTTAGCCTGAGTGAAAACTTAATCCAGTAGCTACGTTCTGTATTTTGCTACAGACACATGTTTGAAATGAGATTTGGAGAAGGTGTGTGCCGTTTGTTGGCTTGAAATCATGTTCATAAAGTATCAAAGGAGATGGTGAGTGCAAAGTTAGCCTGACCCACAGCCCGACTGGTTACAATAATAAGACGCAGGTAGAAAAACACCTAATCTCTTTCTGAACTGGGACAGCAACTTCACCGTATCACATTACATTAACATTTTTCTGACTGATTGGGCCGAGTTCCAATAACGACTATTCAGCATGGCCCCGTTAGAGAAGGTCAGCTGGTGACTCGGTGTGAACGTGGAAATCCTTTTCAGGTTTGGGATGAAAATATATCACACAGACCAGACTGTGCTGCGTCACTGCAGAGAGATGATGATCCTCTGATTCGCACCACTTGACCAGATGTTCACATGTTCCTTTATGTGAAGAGCAGGAAGAACAAACCTAATGCAAATTTTGAGTGATATGGGTTTCAAATGAGGCTCACGAGGGCCATGAATCTAAGAGGACGCCCCGTTTGGCTTCAGTCACACTCTTCTTTTCAGCCTACTCACAGCAACAGTAGCGGCGTGTTGCTGATGTAATCCACCTAAAAAAACTCACCCACAGTCAAGAAAAATGCAAAGGCACAAGAAAACGTCAGTAGAACTATTACTTGTTTAACATTCTGAGCACATTTTCAAGTTCAGTCTTGAAATATTATAACTTTACCACAGAAATTATGACTTTGTTGTCAGTGTTATTCCTTTTTCCAGATATAAACAATTAAGGCCCCAATACACTTACAATCTTGGTTTTTCTCCAGTGAGAAATCTAGGCAGCTATAATTCTAATATATATTTGCCCCCCCATGCTGACCATCAGAAATCCACACCTCCTCCCTCCTGACATGGGGGAGACGAAACTCTCCTCTGTACAGGCAGTGAACGAGTGCCAGTTGACCTTTGTTAAAACAAAAGCTGAGCCAACAAGACAGATTCTCATTGTCCTTACGAAAAGAAACTATTAATAATCTCACTGTACATGTCCCAAACACTGGGACACTTCCTTTCTTCCTTGTGGATCACTCGGTATGTGCCTGGTGTTGCTGTTCTCCCATTAGCCCACAGGGAAAGCAGCCAATCAAACACAGAGGCAGTAAACAAAGCAAACAGAGTGGAAGGAGCCCTTTAGGAAAACACTGTACACATGTGGTCACACCGTTTTCAGTTAGACAGCAAACAGACTTCAACCACAAGGATGTCCACTCCACAGGGGGTCAAAGGTCAGAGAGAACTGTCTGCAGAAGAAGAAACTCCATACTGGAATAAGGAACTATAGAATCATAGGGGACTTACTGCTTTAACAGCCGAGACAAAGGTGAGAAAAAAACAAAGATTGATTAGTAATAAGCTTTCAAACAAAGAAGCACACAACGTTTGAACTTTGAACTTGAGATTCTGATTCTGAGAATCAATTAAGCCTCATTTTTTTACTTGAAAACTCCAGTGGAGTTTTACATCATTGTAACTGAACATCTTTGGGTTTTCAACTGTCAGTCGAATTAAATCAGACATTTTCTGACATTTTACAGACAGAGATTTGTTGAAAAAGACCAAAACAGGCAGATTAACAGATGAAAATAACTGTTATACCACACAAAATGTAAAGTCCAAGGAGTAATTCAACACCATTCATCTGGTGAAAAACAACGAGAACATCTTACAACATCCTGTGCAGTCGTTTGCCCTCAAATGCATAGGTTCCTCTGACTGGACACAGCTTTGGCATGTTGCCCTTAGATGCCAGAAACATTTTTGTTTTCTTATGTGTATGGTTCTTTGCCCTAACTCGATAATAACAGCATTAATAAAAATGTAAATACTAGGACGCATCTCATCTATCATCAGCAATCAGTGGCATTTTGAGTCTTCCAGAGGCCACTCTGGTTTAGAGGTGTTTTGCTTTTATGAAGCTGGCAGAGGAGGAGAGGGCGTTCAGCTCCGACACAGTGAGACCACAGCAGCGTCTTCTGGGATCAGCTGGAGCCAACTGGTTTAAATCTACAGAACAGAACAGACAGAGAGATATCACTCGCTTCAGGCAGAAGCGATTCCAGTTGAGGCCTAATCCCTTCCTTCTGGACAGTCTGTTAGGAACAGTCAGCGGCTCCTGGTTCATCAACCCCGACCGCTACTCCGAGCAAACGGGAGACAAAACTAAAATGATAAAAGGTCAGCATGCAGATCAGTGTTTAGCCTCTAATTCACCTTGATCAGCCCCAGACCAGCTGCCTCCAGCCATCAAAGCAGCTCTGATAAGAGCATCAGGTGAACATGTGGAGGGTCACCAACCAACCGTGTGGCCAGTGAACTCACATCCAATCAAGAGAGCCAAATGTAGCTGAAGAGCAGCGGGACCAGGAAGAGCACGGTGAAGCCCACTGTCCCATAGACGATGTAGCGGTAGGGCAGCTCCACCTCCATGTGTTGCCTCGCCTTCCTCACGTCCACGCTGGACACCCTGAACACCCAGCACACCAGTGGGATGGTCAGGGCCTTCATCAGCGCCCGCGTGGCCACCAGCACCAGAATACCCAGGACGAACCGCAGTGTGGCCATGCCTACCAGACTCGTGTTGAGGGTGGGCATAGCGAACGGGAGCTGGTCTGGTGTCGGGTCGGGCAAAAGACCCAAGTAATAGTTGACGTGTGATGCCAGGGCCACGCCGGCACCGGTTCCCAGGATCTGAGCAGTGTCGCCCCGTGAGGTGCTCCAGGTGTCAAGAGTGAAGGAGAAGAGACCCAGGCCCAGATGGAGGGAGATGATGATGAGCGGGGCGTAGCGGCAGGTCAGGTTGAAGCTGTCGATCAGGTTCAATGCCGGCAGGAAGAGGAGCAGGATGAGGACACTGTACAGGACGCCGGCCATGACGTCCTGGAGGACAAACAGAGAAACAGAGGTAAATGGACTGCAGATATGCATCAGCAACGCTTTTATCCAGACTGATACCCTCAGGCTACCATGTAAGGTATTAGAAGAGGGTATTAGAATCAGTGTCCCGCTCAAAAACACTTGTGGACGGGAGGGATCAACTCACTCTACCTCCTGCGCCACAGCTGGCCACAGTGTCACATCTACTGAAGTCCTGAGTAAGTCTCAAACAGTGTGTCCCAAATCACTGTGGACACTGTGACGTTACACTAGTGTCCATCCAACAGCCAAACACGTTTCCCTGGCGATGCCTGCGCACGAGCTTTGCCGCCAGTTAACAAGCAAAAGAAATGCCAGCCACAGCAGCTGAAGACGACAAAGTAAACCAGAGAAAGGTAGTCATGTTACCTCGGTGAAACGGAGTGAGGTCTGTAAAAACTTTATTTGAACTATAAGTGACAGCACGACAAACCTGTTGGTTTATTTTGGGGTAGCTCTTTAACCTGTTCCAGGTGTTTCTCCAGTCACTGCCTTATTTTATTTTATTTTTTAATGTGTAATGGTAGTGACACCTGAGACTGTGCACCTACTTTGGGTTAAAAACAAAAAGCTAATTAACGATCGTTTGTAATATAACGTACGGACGGTGGATCTTCATAACCACCATCCTACAGAATGTGCTCCATTTCCATTCTTGATGTGAGATCAACTCATAGCTTCAGCAGTGAAGACGTCTCACTCTGTTGGAGTAGTTGTAATGTCAGAAGCAATCAGTTCACTGATTATTAATAATTACAAGCTCTGCTCTCACAGCCAGTCATTAACCCATGCTGAACTACAAGAGCCGGGGCCACAGAGATGGCGTCACAGGCTGGCACACCAGCCGGCAGGAACCCGAGTGCCAGTGGTCTGACTGACGGCACACAGCCTGGTGAGGACACATTTGACTCTGACTGTTTGAAGGTGACTCAGCAGCAAGACAACAGGCAGGAAACCTCTGAGAAAGGCACCACGATTTATGACTTTACTGCTGCTGCTAAAATCTGTTATGTCTCTTGTAATGACAAACAGAGTGAGTGAAAGTTTCCAGCTGTCTGTAATTTTCTCCTCCACTGACACAAGTAGAGGAGAAACAACGAGCTGGCTGATGTGAAAATGCCCAGAAAGAGGAGGAGACGGTGGCACAGCTCCCCGGGGGAGCAACAAGGCACAGGACGTTTGGTGGAGTGTTTACAATGAAAATAAATGAGTGTCAGCGTGGGCGGCCTCAGTGGAAACAGAACCAGTAATCGTCAGGTTTATGAAGCCTGACCCAGTGGGACTGCTGCCTGCCCGCTGTCCATCTGGAATACTTAATGACTTAATGGAACAGTATCCAGTAAATGACTGCACAATTCCATTTGTGCACTAGTTGCTTACAGGAAGTGAACGACAGTCTCTGATTTCCATCTTCTCCTTCAAGATGTAAATAAGTAGCCCGGTCAAACTCCACTGTATTCATCAGAGCCGTAGCTAAAGTTTATTTGCATTCTTGACTGATGTCTTTTGAGTATTTTGTCAATTAATTCTTTGGCCTATAAAATGTCAGAAGGTAGTGAACATGTCATGTTGTGTGCCCTAAAAGATTAGTTGAGAAATGAACATTTAGCTGTTTATCAGGGGAAAATCTGTGAATAGCTGAACTAACTACTAGGTTGTTTCCTGTCCAGCTGGAATGGGATTATGAACTGATGAAACAGGCCCCAGGAGCAGGGCTGTCTGAAGCCATGACCGCTGGTGAGCAAGAAATACATCTCATTATTTTATCAGTATGAATAACCAGATGGCTGCAGTCCAACTTGGCAGCAGTCCAACTTGTGTGAATAACAAAAGGCTAAAATTCAGTTCACGCTGAATGCACCTTTACACAACTACAAGCTTTATTGCTTCATCTGCAGATCGTTTTCTTCACCAAGCTTTAAAATGTCAAAACGACCAACCTGTCTTTCAACACAAACTGAACATTACTGCCTTCATGTATGAAAGATTTACTGCAGTGCTGTCGGATTAGACGGCATTACTTCTAGCTAGGTGTAAATAATAAACTGTCTACTGAGAGAACGTCTCATTTGGACTTTAAGTCAAGGAAAACCCTGAGTGAAAATGCCCCTTTAGTAGCCCGGTGCCAGGTTTGCACAAGTCAACTCCTCCTTCTCTCTGAGCTCTTCCTGAAGAACAAAGGCGGAGGAAGTAGTGTGATGATTTCCAGAACACATTAAGTGCCCGACAGGCCTGGCAGAGCAGAGCTAATGGCTCGCCATGTGTTCACGCTCCACTCCCTGGAACACAGTCTCCCTACGGCCTGCCTCAGCAGATCTCAGACTGTGTCATCAGTTGGAAATGAGCCGTGTGCATGTCGACCCACAAACCAAATGTTGTGTCTGAAATCACCGTTTGAACAAACTGAGTTCATGCAGTGGCTGAAGAGAAGGTGAAGCTGCTGATTTCTGCTCTTACACCTTGAGGGAATTTCTTCAAATTTGGCACAAACATCCATTTAAATTCAAGGATGAACTATTAGATTCTGGTGGTCAGAGGTCAGATCACTGTATCCTCACATCTTTCTGATTCCGCTGAAATTTGCTGGTTGGTGGAGGCACAACTGCAGAGGCGTGATTCTAGTTAAGAAAAACTTTTCGTATTACTCTGGGGAAAATTATTTATTGAGATTATGATGACTTAAGTGCTGTCTCATTGCCAAAACCATAATGACAGTAATGAGCTCCCTCTTAGGCAACATTAAAGGAGCCTAAAATGTCTGACTTTAGCCAACAGTTGTGCTAAAGTTAGTGCTGGGGATGGACTGGAATGTGGCTGGATGCCAGAACAAGTCAGGCAGAGTTTGGGCGAGATACAGACTAATGTGAGCAGGCAGATGTGCATGTGGTTCCTGAAGTGGAGGTCTTAACAGTAACGCCACCAGCAGGCGGCCACAGAAAACCCTTAGACAAAGTCTCTGATGTGGAAGAAGCTTTTAAGTTTATGTGGGAGGACAGCCAGTGCCTGTAATGTCTGCTGGTCCCACACTACCATCACTCAGACACAAACACAACCACGGCCAAAGACAGCCCGAATGAAACGGTGCACCAGGACTGACATCATTTGCCAGTGAGAGAAATGACCCCATACAAGGTTAATGTGAGCCACACAAACATCTGCGGTAAGTATTTGCCAGAAGAGGAGCCAGCTGAGGTGGCTCAGGCACCTGTTTCGGATGCCTCCTGGGCGCCTTCCTAGGGAGGTGTTCCAGGCACGTCCCACTGGGAGGAGGCCCCGGGGAAGACCCAGGACACGCTGGAGGAACTATGTCTCTCGGCTGGCCTGGGGGCATTCTGCCACAGGAGCTGGAGGAAGTGTCTGGGCATCTCTGCTTAGACTGCTGCCCCCGCGACCCGGTTCCAGATAAGTGGAGGAAGATGGATGGATGGATGGTATTTCCTTACAAATCTGATCAGGGTGTTTTATCCAGGGTCCACGAGCTTCTAGATGTCTGAGGAAAAATCTGGAAAATAACTTGCTTGTAATCATGTGATGTGTGAAATTCAGATGGAGGACACGAAGCAAAAAGCAGAATGGACGAGATGGAAGTGAGCCTGCACTGTGCTAGTTCAGGAGATATTACAAGAGGTAAAACTATAAACAGAAAATCGCTTGTTGGACAGGATCCTTATTGTTGTGAGGAGGAGTGATTTTGCAGCTGAATTAAAAGACTTCCCCTCCATCGAGGCAGAAGACACAAGCAACTACCTCGTCACCCGGACATCCTTCTTCTCCAGGAAACCAATGGAGCATAGGACAGTGTGGAATAATACATCTTTGGTTTTCACCAGGATGACCGGCTTTTCTTTAATTGTCATTAACCTAACAACAAACATTTAACACTGCAGCGCCGCTTTATCTTAAAGCAAACTGACCGCTCCCAAAGGTGCGGTGAAACGACACTAAAGACGTGGATCACCACAAAACAAGGGCGAGGCGTCGCTGTAGCTCAGCTGCATGGCAGGGTGATTTACATCCGCCTGCCTTTTGTGTAACTGTTTGCTTCGGAGATAAGTGTTAACAGTGCTGCTTGTAGCCACTGTTTCAAACCTACCCACAGATGAACTGTGCAAAAACACAGTGTTCCATTCGTGGTTACATTAGCTACATGAACACAGCCACACAGGCCACATGGCCTCCGTCAAAGACGTCACTGCATGCACTGGCACCTTTTGGCTCCACTTCTCTTACAGACAGAGGCTAACTACCTGTTTATGCCTGTGTGTTTCAGTCATCAGTAGCACACAACACAACCACTAACGTGTCAGGGTGAGAGCACCGATTCCCACTGGGACTAGAAATACTACCTACACTATGTTGATTAGAGAAGATACTATTAGTACTACGCTTTACTGAGACACAGGCCTTGCTTGAGCATTTGTACATGCAGGCTCTTCAATGTGCACAGAAGCACCGTCTCCTGGGTAAAGTGAGCACATTCAGATGCTCCATAGAACATTTTACTTTGTCTGGTGCCCTTTGTTACCTCTCATGAGCCTCTCACAACCCAGGCTGAGGAATACTGTAATGCTGTAGGGCACCTGAGGTAAACACACCCACCCAGCGGTGTTGGATTATGTTCGTCATGCCATGACTGTACCTGTATTGCACAGCAGTGATCTCATTTAGCCAAAGCACCACGGTCTGCAAAACAATCTGCCAATGTAAATAAATGATACAGGAGCAGGTTTTTGCAGGCTCAACGGTTTTACAGTAAGGATTTGAGAGACGCTGCCATTTATTGTTTAAGAACCGCACTGCACTGAGTGTAGAGGGATACAGGCTCGAGTATGTTGAAGACATGATGTGTATTCCATGCACAGCTGTGTAGTACAGAGAGAAGCTCAACACGGCTCGCTCGAAACCCAAAATAAAGAGAATCTGGGTCCAATGCTTAAAAAAAAAAAGGTGATTCTGTAAGATTTTGTTATTTTCCACAAATCCCATCCGGAGATTAAAAGCAACAACAAATGAGTGTAAATCCAAACCCTGGTTTAGCTCATTGGTCCATGCCATAGACCTCCACTGTTGTCCAGAATCGATTCAAACCACAGCAGGTAGCCACACCGCTGCATTGGGTGACACATTTCTTCCTCACAAAACACCGAGTACGTCTTATTTCAAAAAAACAGCTCCAAAGGCCAAGAACGGCCGCCACTGTGCACAGTAAGTTAGCACCGCTCCGCTAGCGTCTCCTGCTACACATACAGTAACAGTGCTTCTCTGTGATGTTGTACAAGTTGGACTTATTTGGTAACTTGTAGTGATCCTAAGGTCAAGAGTTAACCTGCGTGCTCAGCTGTTAAATCGTGTAAGATGACAGGGCCACAGAAGGCACGTTGTTTGTGCTTATTACTGAAGTATACATTTACCACATGCTCCTTTCAGGCAAATGACTTTGTGTTATGGATATGTATTGTTGCTCTGTGTGTTTTGTTGTACTTCTGCAGTTACACAGGTGATTGTGTTGCTGACACCAGAACTCACCGCTGGCCCAGTTCCAGAGGTGAGGTGGCTGCTGGTCAGATGCTCTTTCCCACAGCTCAGCTATCATGTTGAAAAGGGCAGGATGACGGTACACTGGCACTGCAGGCGGCAGCGCTGGCACCATCTGTGTGTGTGTGTGTGTGTGTGTGTGTGGGTGTGAGATCAAACTTACCAGGACCGAGTGCATTCCCATGTAGATTCGGCTAGCACAGACCAGCAGACACCAGCAGAGAGCCAGGGCGAAGCCGAGCGCAAACGGGTACTGTGGAGGCGAAAGGAGACAGTTTTCAACACACGCAATGCAATGTTTAGAATTTAAACCAATCAGAGGTTTTTATTTAGCCGCGTTAAAACAAGTACTTTAATCTCAACAAAGGTAGTAAAAGCCAGAACAAACACAAATAATGTCTCCTCTGTGATTAACTGATAACACCATAAAATGTGTTATTTGATTATGGTAAGTCCACTGGAGCGCTACGTGGTGTTCGTCTATTGTTTCTGACCATCAATCAAAAAAATAAACTGAAATAATCTGAAAATACAGTGATGTAAAAGTATCACCTGTAACTATGGTAACTACACAACAAAGCTGTTTAGAAGATATGAACATTAAAATTCAGGATACAAATGATGAAAACTAGGCTACACTCGAACTAACAACAGTAAAATAGTATTAAAACTAACTAAGGCTAAAAGAAATTCAGGTGCCAGTATTAACAGTTTTCCTTGCATTTGCCACAACACTAACGGGTTCACACTGTGATATAGGTTAACTAAATGGCTGCATGTTGATTGTCCTGGTGTAATGATAAACTGACTGTGTGCAGTAAAGCTGACATTCAGCTATACTTTGTTCAGTGTGCGGTCAATAGCACGTAGAAGTAATGGATATATCATGGTAGAAATGATTATCTGCTAATGACTCAAAGTGCCTCATAAATATTTCAGCAATTCTGCTGTTTCCTTATCAGGTGCACTTGTGTGGCCTGCAGCAAAGAGAGAAGGGAGAACACAATGTCATGTGTCCAAGGTCAGACACAATCAGACCCAGAGACATGAGCCTACATGTGACATGTAGCTCAGCGTACAAGCTGGACTTTATCAGCCCAGCTAGGACACGATGATGTGCTGCTGACGTGAGCAAGAGAACAAAGCAGCGTTTAGGCAGCAGCTTGTCTGAGCAATGTCAGTATGATCGACAAAGACAT